GGAGATGTGCCTAATAACATACTTTATCTTGTCTTCATCATTTAAACAGAGCCACAATTCCACATTCTGTCTTATTGTTCTGTGACTATTCAGAAAGCAGAGCCAATGCAGCTGCTCTGACCGTGGAAGACCAGTCCAAAAACACCATCTCTTCCTCCCAACACTGCCACCCTACCAAATTTGCTCCCCAGGGGGTTTTGGCGCTGTGCTTTAACTGATCCAAGAGCTGCATTTGTTCATTTTGCTATAATGGACTTAAATTATCCAACAGCAAAAAGCACTGATCCCAGGGCAGAGCTTTTTAACTAGTGATGTTCCACAGACACACATAATAAGACAACAGCTGCTCCAATCCCTCAACTTTTATCTAACTTCTGCACTTATCAACTGATCTTGGAGCATTTGACTAATGGGTTAAAGACAAGTACATTTATGCATAATTATTTCTGAAGAAAATGTGAGTAGGCATTCATGATACATCATACATTCATAATATAATATTTATTATGTTATTCCGTAATATATATATATATATATATATATATATATGCGTTGTAATTCTTACAAGTACAAGTACATTAGGGCACAAAGATTGTTGTCTTTCCTAAGGCATAACACCGACTGATGATGGACTGTTTCTTGCCCTCTCCTGGCCCTGTAAATTTATGTCTGGTCTATCATAATTAAGAGTGGCCTGATTCTATCATTCAGACAAGTTTATCATGGGGCGCATGTACCTGACAGCTTCAGTGACGTTGTTGGACGTGTGTCCTGACAGCGCATCGTGGAGGTTACGGATGAAATAGTCCCTGTACTCCTCCGGCAGAGCCATGAATGTGCCTCCCATCACAATGAACTCCACTTTATCCACGCTGTGACCCAGCTGCTTGAGCTAGATGTGCAAACACAGCAGCATAATGTCATTAACACCCTCTAAATGAGTAGAAAAGCTGAGAGGATCATCAACCCTCCAGATCTAAACCGTAAAATCAAAACCATTAAGTAGTATGTAATGATCACTTCTGATTTTAACTGCACAATGCTCAGAAAACAGCTGATAAATATGAGCTATGAAGATGACTCACCTGTTCTACTCGATGCCTAGTCTGGAGGTAGGGATCATATCGTGCACGGATGGCTCTCATTGACGTGGGCTAGGTATGAGACAGTCAAAATGAAGCATACTGCATGACACTAGTGCGAAACTCATAAAAATATGCGTGATAGCATTGCTTTGGGAGACAGATGGATAATTACCTCGTATCCTGTGTAAGACTGTGTGGAATATTCAAAATCGGAGTCCGGACCCCCTGGGCAGTAGCTGTTTGAGCAAATGAAAACAAAAACACACTACATCAAATTCAAAACTGAGACCAGTTATCATTATATCCTGCTAATTAAAGTTTCCCCACCAACTGACACACAATGCTAATAGCTTGAACCAGATGCAAGTCCACATGGAATCTGCACTGTAAAAGGTTCAAGGCACCTGAATGAATAGCTTGTGTAGAATTGCTCATTTGTATAAAAGCATGAGCTGAATGAATAAATGTACACTACTGTTCGAGGTCGGTAAGATTTTTAAAAAATGTTTTTGAAAGAAGTCTCTCAAAAACACAGTAAAAACAGTAATATTGTGAAGTATTATTAGAATTTAAAATAACTGTTTTCTATTTTAATATATTTTAAAATGTACATTATTCCTGTTATGTGGTGTCAAAGCTGAACTTTCAGCAGTCATTCCTCCAGCCTTCAGTGTCACATGATCGCTCAGAAATCATTCTGATATGCTGATTCAGAAACATTTGCTTAAGAAACATTTCTAATTATTATCAATGTTGAAAACAGCACAAGAAATATTTTTGTAGAAAGCGTGATACATTTTTTCAGGATTCTTTGACGAACAGAAAGTTCTATAGAACATAATTCACTTAAAATAAAAGTATTTTATAATATTGTAAATGCATTTTGATCCATCCTAAAGCATCCTTTCTGAATTAAAGTATTAATTAAAAAAAAAAGTCTTACTGACCCCAAATTATTGAACGGTAGTGTAAAAGACACACTTTATTTTGGACATACTCACACACAGATGTTGCCAGTGAAGCTGATGTGTGGACAGCGATGAGGCTTGCACATCACAGCAACAACTGCAATCTACAAAGAATATTAAATCAAAGTCTGAGCACTGGTTTCAACTCTCATGTCTATATTATGATATCTTTACACCATCACCAATACACAATAACAAATGGCGAACAAACCATCCTTACCCCACTGGCAGTGCGGATGGGTTTGGCTTTCAGTTTGGGCACCAAGGCTCTTCGATAATGAGGCGGCACTGCAGCAATAATGTCCACAAGCCGTGGCTGTGCAGAGAGACCGTATTTGGCTGATGTCTTCGTCTTGACTCTATAAGGACACAATTTTAGTGATCAATCTAACTTGGTTTATAGTTATCCAGTGAGAAAACATTTGGACTTTTGTTTTTGAAACGTATTGCCATGAGTCCGCTAGTCCTTTCTTCCCTATTGTGAATGTGACGAATATCTGGATGAAGCAGTTTCTCGAACTAGAAAAAATGTAGGACAGGAGTTGATCCAATCTTGAATAGATTGGATCGTTGTGGTTCGCTATTGCTGTGATGTCATGTGAGTGACATGTTGTCCTGCCCTCGGAACAGTAAACATATCAGAGAAGTAGTTGCAAAAGGGAGGTAGTTATTTTGACTAAAGAGTATGAGGGCAAATTAATTAAAAAAAAGAATGATGTCCACAGATCAATCATTCATTATAAATACTGTAATATTCCATAAAAATGACAATGGTCAATATTGTTTCATGATGACTTTAATATTATAATTAAAATAAATAAATCTTTAAAATGCACTGACTTGTTAAGGTTAATATCTTTTCCCTGTTCGTGGGCCTCAACCAGCTGCTTAATGACATCTGCAATTGTCATCATCATCAGTTCTGCACGGCTCAAGTCACCTGATGTGAACACAGAAAGCACTGAGTTAAACAGACATGTCATGTTAGAGAAACACAAATCTCTATCGGTACTATAGTCTCAGTAGAATGAATCCAGACACCTGACACTACGGTTAAGGACTAGTTAAAGGATAGAATTAGTTACTTGTGATGGACTGACAGCATTGATATTTACAACATTTTTTTTTTATTATAAACCTTACACCTAACCATACATGTTTCCACATATACTGACACACGTGTCTTTTTTATTTTGGAGTAATTTGACACATTGACGCATGCTTAACAAAACATATCCAAAAAGTCAAATAGATTTCGAATCTCAAAATGTGCATTGATTCACGTAACTTTGACAACTTTTTGTCACATTTTCATTTTAACAGTGACGAACAATTACTAAACTGCTTATGTAAATTAAACCTGAAATATATAATTCTCATAAACATACAATACCCAAGTCAAAACGTTAGTAGATGATGCAAGATTGGACATTTCAACAACATGCTCTTAGCAGCTAAGTTAACAGAAATTGGTCCTGCTTAAAACTAGCAGTAAATACTTACTCTTCTTTTTCGGCTTTCCCATCTCGGAAACAATCTACAAACAATACAGAACCCGTATACGATAAAAACTTAACCTAGCAGTTAGTTAGAAAATCAACCCACTGATAAAAATGTCAACATGAGTGAACATGCGAAACTCTTCCGTAAAGCGAATGCGTGTGTCGTAAAGCAACACATGCAAGTACAGTTGTCGTAAAGTAGCCAGGGCACTTTGCTACAGTCAGTGAAGTACACAGCTTCTACCGGAGGACCTCTAGTGTTCACTTCAGTTCAGATGATATGATGTAAATACTGTAATATAATGTTACATAATATTTTTTTGTTGAAATGATCTTGTCAGAAAAATACAGTTAGCGAGTAATCCCAGTAGGCTGCAGTATGCCTCTGGCCATCAAAAACTAATATGAAATCTGAAACTTGTACTGCAATTATAATAATTCCCTATGCGGACTTTTGAAGCTATATTTACCTCATTCATATCTGACCACAGTAGTAACTTGCTATATTTAGGATGATCTAGCTAGTGATTTGTTTCTGCAGCTGTGCAAAATTATGCATTGCACTATCTATCTATCTATCTATCTATCTATCTATCTATCTATCTATCTATCTATCTATCTATCTATCTATCTATCTATCTATCTATCTATCTCAGCAGTGGGTTTCAACCTGAGATTACTTCAAATTAATTTAAATATAATATAATTTATTAATTTGTATTATCCACATAAAAAAATATAAATTAAATTAATTAAAAAAAAAAAATTAATTAAAACAAAGCATCCCAAGTTGCCAAGCTGCTTCTCATCGCCCTGTGTGAGAAAAATAAACAAATTACAGACTGAGCGACGGCTGCTAAACCAAAACACCCAACCTCTTCATGAACATAGGATACGCAAACTACTAACGTTACATCTCTCAGCTGGATAAAGAAAACCCGTGTTACTGAAAAAGCTTTCATTGATGTCGAATGTAATGAAGGTAAAGACGATTACAGCACGCGCGATATCCGTTGTAACGGGCGTTAACGTTAGTTACAGACGCTCACTTTACTATATTCGCGTAGTTGTCAAAAATAAATGTTAACTGTTAATGTTTTATAACGGATGCTCGCCGAAGAAGCGTGTTTTAGAGAAGTTTGTGAATGTGAACATTTTCATTTTGTTTAATAATTCAGAATTGGTCCATATATTCAGTCCTTTGGCATCACCCTGTGGTCTTGTTTGGTATTGCAGGCTGACGTGTGCTTATGTGTCCAAGTTACTGTATGACTGAGAGTACGTTAAAAGGAGCCGTATGTAAGAGTGTGGCCAAAACTGGTACTGTAATCAATATAAAATTACTGGTGTATCCCCCCCCTACCCCAGGATCCAACATTTTTTTTTATCTGACATGTTTGTATCTGCATCTATCTATCATCTTATTTGTTCTATCATCTTATTTGTATAGGCTATAGGATGCATTACAGCCTAGCCAACGGTGCTATGAAAAATGGGAACTCAGTGAGTCAAATAGGAAAAAAAAGCTTGTGTACATTTGGGTGTGTCCGTCTAAACTGAGAAGGCACCTTAGGGAAATAACCCTAGTAATTCTAGTCCCTCCTTCTTAGCCCAGCTCAGTTTGAAACGCCTACATAGTATACAGCGTTGAGTTTCATGAGATAGTAGTGGCAATAAAAGAATGACTAAGATAGTCTGACATATATGTGGACACTGCAGTGGGCAAAGACATTTAGGTAGGGTCTGTTTTCTTCAGTGCCAGCCAGGCAACATCTGTTGTTCTTCCGCAGTTCCCTGCAATCTTTGGATCCCGTGCGTAAAAAAAATATAAATACAATATACACCGACATATCGCAGTTCATCATGTATCAGCTTATAAAGAAATTCGTGTTCACCGAATCGCATTGTTTGGAGGAAGACAACTCGAAAAGTTTCGCGGAGTTATTTGAGAAGTTGGATGTTAATAAAGATGGGAAAGTGGATGTTTCTGAGCTCAAGACGGGCCTGGCTGCTATGGGCTTCTCTATGGGCAAAGGAGAAGCGCAGGTAATTCCAGTTCACTGGCTCACTGCATTTCTGTTGTTGACTCACTGTTGTTGTAATAGCTCTGCGTATTGGGTTCAAAATAAGCCACATAAACCACGGTGACAGGCGGTTTAGCATATTGTTCGCGTCGCGTGCAAGGGAAATTTGCTACTAAGAAAAATCCACCATTTTGTTTGATGTAAAATGCAGATAATACATTTAACCTGAACCATTGCTAATGGTAAATGCTATTTGTAGTTCAAATAAGGGATGGGAAATGATGCCTTTAGTGCCAGCCCACATCCTACTCCATTAGATACTATTCAGAGATCGGAGTAAATAATATACTTATGCTTTTTACGTTACCAAACTTTGACTACAGGGAGTAGAAGATAACTTTTTGCCTCAGCATTCCCCCAAAGAGGAATGCCTTTCAAATAGGGGTTTCCAGTCAAATATAGGTTATGCCACTTCCTATAATTTGCAATGAAGTGCACTTAAAGCAAAAGGGTGGGTAAAGACACTTCTATTATACTGCTCATGTATATTAAAACACGACATTCCTAACATCTGAGACAGCTGATATAACCACACCTTACCTGCAAATGAGACTCACTGTATCAAAGTAACAAGACAGCAATCTCATCAGGTGGTCACGCCTTCTTTGTTACACTCTGCAGGCACTTTGCATGTCTTGCAAGAAAATAAATAAACTTTAAAGACAGTTGGTACACGTTTGTCTCTTATTCAGTCATGTTAAATTGTTTGCCACCACACATACATGGGGTTTAAAATAAATATCCCGTTTTGAGTGATCATTTGTTGCTCTTATGATTTGTGTTACATTTCTGAAGTGTGTAGAAGTTTTTAATTGCACCTAAATGACAACACTGGATGGCAGTGTTTTTAAAGCTCACATTGATGTCAGAAAAAAGAGCCGTGTTTGTCATTTTGAATATGAAAATGAGGTATAATTGAGCAATGTTTTATTTTCTGTAAAGTTGAGAAATTATTGTTTCCTTTTGGGTTTATATCTTTAACAGAATCTTTACAATGTGCAAACAATGTTTGTATTGTATATTTTGTTACAAATATAGTACAGAGTTTCTTGTACTCAGTGATGGACATTTTCAGGAACCGCATGTTATGTTTTTCTCTTACAGAAAATTGTTGCTTCTGGAGACTCTGATAAGGATGAGGGGCTGGACTTTGGGGAGTTTTCAAGGTATCTGAAAGAACATGAGAAAAAACTCAGATTGACCTTCAAGAGTCTGGATAAAAATGATGATGGTAAGATTAAAGTAGGCTAAACTGTGTTTTTTGCTCTCCTTTGAGGACTAATTTTGAAGCCCATTAGATTACCATTAGTATTGCCATATCGCCTAGCCTTAAAAGCACTCTATGTTAAAGCATTGAGGCATTATATACTTAACAGTATGACTTTGTGTAAAGCTGATTTGAAACTGAAGATCTAATTTAGAGTCAAATTGAAAACTTTTCATTGTACATTGTGCTTTTGTTGATCACAAAATAAACATTAATTAACAACATTATTTGCGTATGCAGGTCGCATTGATGCCAAAGAGATTCAGCAGTCACTTAAAGACATTGGCATAAACTTGACAGATCAAGATGCAGAGAAGATCCTCCACAGGTACTCATGAGGCCTATTCTCACCAAAAACTCAATGAAAAAGTGAAACAAAAATGTACATGAAATGTCTGTTCACAGTCACACATGATCAAAATTAATGCAAGACTTAATTTTTTTTAACAATATAGACTATAAACATTCCTCTCACTTTAATGCTAAATATTATACACCCCATACAAATTTAACTTGCTTCAAAGTAGTGATAATGTGAACAATTTAAGTTGCGAACAGGCCTTTATGTAAAATGTATGTAAGTCTTTGCTTGTGAAATGCTCATGCTCAATCTAGTTAGTTCGCTGATAATAGTCCTGCCGAGAAAGGCAGAGTTTCTTGAGGAAATCTGGTTATTTTGCCGGAAAAAAAGATTAGTAATCTTTTGAAAGGGGTTTGAAAGGGGACAAAAAGCATGAGACTAATGAAAAATGATTTACAATCTCACAAAACATAGGCTTTGTTTTCTTTGTGCAAAAAAGTACATATACGTATTCATGTATGTATGTAATATGTATGTATGTATATGCTAAAATAAGACCTTTCTTATTTCATTGACAATTTTAATTGATTCTCCCATTAAGCTACAGTACATGGTAACTTTACCACATAGAACATTGTTCTTCAGACCTACTTGTCTTCTCTCATTTGTCCTTTGTTCTCCAGTATTGATGTGGATGGAACTATGTCTCTGGATTGGAATGAATGGAGGGAGCATTTTCTCTTCAACCCAGCAGATAACCTTCAGGAAATCATACGCTTCTGGAAACACTCCACTGTAAGTTCCACAAAAGCACTCAGATATTGCATAATACATTCATCCATTACCGTCTGATTTGGTATCAGTTATTAGGATGAACACTAAATGCTATGGTGACGGCCTGGCTTTGTTTAGTCAAACAGTCACATGTCATTGACTGGTCAGACAGCCTTTCAGTTGTCTAGTCAGGCACACAGCTAGGTAGCCCTTTAATCAGCTTGGCCAGCCATTTATATCCCTCTGTGAGTCGGCAGGATTGGGAAATCATAGGAAAAGTGTTGAGAGCAGGAAGGATAAGGAGTCTCTTAACTGATTAAGTGTCAAATGTTAACAAAAGTCACACTAATACTAATGTTCAATGTTTTGACAACTCATGCGCACACACGTTTACTATATAAATGAGGACATACCACAGACTTGTATTGTTTTTAAATAAAGCTAATTATAATTACTACTAACTTTTTAATCTTTCAATGTTTCCGGTTATTTCTGTCTAAAATCTTTTCGGGTTGACTTAAGTTTTTAGCGCAGAGCAAAAATCACACAGAATCACACAGATTTTTGAGCAGTGCAGGTTTAGTGAGAGTCGTTACAGCCAATTGCTGCAAAGCTAATTTAAGACTGTCCTGTACTGGGATTATCCCTGGATGTGCTCGTCATCTGACTGTTGGACTGATGGAAGTGCAGTGATGTTGGGCAGAGAGAGATAAGGGAGTGTACCGGTACTGTAACATTTTGAGGAGAGAAGGTGTACCAATAGATCTTCGTTGTAGTTGTTAGCATCTACGGCTGGTGTCAGACGAGCTGGCAGCAGAGGGTCAGCATGGCTTTGCTGCATGAGCATAAGGGGGAATGGCTCATCTTTGATTTTGAGGATGAAGAAGCTATACATGTGATGGATGTAGATATGGTAGGTCCTCTGATCCGCATATTTCATAGAGGTCAAAGTAGCTTTGGCCTGCTGAGTTGTATCCTTCATATTATGATATAAAGATATGTGAAAATATGCTATTGAGGTACATTTTGTTTCTAAATAACTTATTTTCTGATTCAAAATGGCATATATAACAAAATATATATGAAGGTTGTATAAGCCATTTATTGAAAAATATGTCATTAATTTACCTCCGTGCCATCCCAAACCTTTATGATTTTCTTTCTTCTGTGCAATGTAAAAGATGATATTTTGAAAGCTGTCGGAAACCAAACAGTTTCAGTTCCCATTGACTTCATTAAATGGACAAAAAATCGAATGGAAGTCAATGGGAATCAAAACTGTTTTCTTCAAAATATCTTACTGTGCTCTATAAAAAAAAGAAAGTCTTACAAGTTTGGAATGACATGAGGGTGAGTAAATGATGACATAACTTGTATTTTTGGGTGAACTAACCCTTTAATGTTGCCTGTTCAAGTCTGTGATGCAGTGCTGATATATTACATAAGATGACGGTAATGATGACATTTAGTACACTAACTTGGATTAAGAGCTAGGTTGTAATTAAGTACAGGTTGGATAGGATATATTATGAATTAGGTGCTCATTACTGTAGATGTGATTAGTATAAATGTAATATTATGCAATTGAACCCCCTTCCGTGTAACTCAAGACATAACCCTTTTGAGCTTTATTTTGACTATTGCCTCTAACAAATGATACATCTTTAGGGAGTCAGTAGCTGTACGGTGTTAAAGGTCAGAGTTTATCCAGCAATGATACCCATGTACATTCTGCTTAACACTGCAGCTTTCACACATAAACTGTTATATTGCATTCCGGATGTTTGACTATTTTCATATTCTTTGCATATTACTGTATATGACCAGTCATAAAACAGTATCAGGATATATTTTTCATATTTCAATCCAACACTAAGACAAAGAAGCTTTTTTCCTCAGAGATCAAGTCAATGTAGGATTCAATAGGAACTAACTTCACCTCTATTGTGTGCTAGGTGTTGGATATAGGTGACAGTCTAAGTATTCCAGATGAGTTCACTGAGGAGGAAAAGACCACTGGCATCTGGTGGAGGCAGCTTGCTGCCGGGCCGTGGCAGGGGCGATCTCTCGAACAGGAACCGCCCCCCTGGACAGAATGAAAGTCTTCATGCAGGTGCAGTTCAGATTTTCTAAAACCCAAATTTGCACTTCAACATATTTTTCCTCATCAGCAGTATTTCTATAAAAAATATGTAAACATCCATAAAAGATGATGTTCAATAAACTGGCCATTGTATGTGAAGTGTCAATTACTCAATATTAACTTGTAGATTAGGGAACTGTTTTACTGAATATCAACACGACATGATTATGATGACCAAATGGTTATGTGACGGGTATCTTACACAAGCAGCATATCAGTGAGAAATTTACTTGTGAAATACAATTCTGTGAGATAATAACATTTATGGTTAACTGATATTTGAATTGGCTGATGAATATTACAAGATATTTAATGTTATTAACAATATTTACTTGATAGGAATATTGAGATTTAGTAAAATTAAAGTTTTCTAAAATTAACACCGGAAAAAATTAATTACAAGACTAAAGCTTATAACAAAATTACTAAAACTTAAAAAATATATTATAGTTGTATTAGTAAATAATGGTAAATGGTATAACACTGGTCTACTGCTGAATTAACAAATTTCATGTAATTAACTTATTATTTAATTGAATGGTGTAACAAGTCAATAAATCTATACTTTTCATAGGTTCATTCCTCAAAAACCAACAAAATCAGTCTGGTGGGTGGATTCAAGAAGATGATTAAAGAAGGGGGTGTGACCTCTCTGTGGAGAGGTAATGGAGTCAACGTCATAAAAATCGCTCCAGAAACTTCAATCAAGTTCATGGCGTATGAGCAGGTGAGAAAACACCCTCTAAATGAAAAAATAATACTGAACTACAGATCAGACGAATGCTCAGTGAATATACAGTATCTGTTGGTTTAGAGATGGTGTGATTGCCCAATGTGACACTGAGAAACCCACATTGCCAAGAAACCCACAAACACTGAAAACCACTTCCACTTTTGAAGTGGTGAAGCATGAATAAGCTAAAACTAGGCAATATGGTGTGTGCGAAAATGCCAGTAACTCGAAATTAACTTGTAGATAATGGAACCGTTTTACTGAATACCAACACGGCTGTGATTACGATGGTCAAATGCTCTTGTGTGACATTGCTTAACCGTCTTACACAAGCAGCGTGTCAGTGTCATTCACAAAACCCTGGACTGGTAATCCGGTCAGAGGACAGAGGATAATTGCAATGGAGAAGATCGCATTTCCTTTTACTAATGAAAAGAGAACCGATTGTTTTAAACCCATCTCAGTTTTGCTTGGATGAGCTTTGACATCAGTTAAATCAGTCTTGCATAATGTGTTTTGTGTTGTGCTTTGACAGTACAAGAGGATACTGACCAAAGAAGGTGGGAAAGTCCAGTCACATGAGAGGTTCATTGCTGGATCTATGGCTGGCGCGACCGCTCAAACGGCCATCTACCCAATGGAGGTGAGAAATGAGACCCGTGGAAATGGATTTTTCTATATGATGATCTTGGAAGAAAGTGAAGACTTATAAAGATATTGTGGCTCCAATATTGACATTAATATTGGCAATAATGACACATGGTGCCCATCTTCAGGTAAATGATTATGAATGTTTTAACTTTTAAATTGTAGGTAATGAAGACCAGACTTACTCTGGGGAAGACCGGTCAGTATTCTGGAATGTTTGACTGTGCTAAGAAGATTATGAAGAAGGAGGGTGTGAAGGCCTTTTATAAAGGCTATGTGCCCAACATCATTGGAATTATTCCGTATGCTGGAATAGATTTAGCAGTGTATGAGGTGAGTACAAACTCTGAAACACTGTGAAATACCTGAAGATCAGTGGTTCCCAATCCTGGTCCTGGAATACCCCCAGGGCCTATTTACACCTGGTCACTTCATGTGTTTTTGCTGATTGGATAGCTATCTGATTTATTAAAACTGTTCCATTTACACTTGGCCACATAAATGTGCCTCCACAAAACTAATATTAATACGGTCTTCAATTACCATGCTAATGCAAATTTAACGGAGTTTAAGTAAACTATTTAATTTTAAGATCAAAGACTGCAGTAGGAGAGAGCAGCATTGGCACTGGTCAGATCATTTACTCTCATTACTTTTAATCATTATGATTGTGTGATGAGCGTCTGCGACACCAAAAGTTCAGTTTCAAACGTCGGCTTGCTGAAGAGATTTTCAGCTACTCGATTGCAGTGTTGCAGTAGCACTGTCACATCTGGCTATAACCCATCATATATAAATTTACAATTTTATTCATTCTATTTCTACAGACCCTGAAGAATGCCTGGTTGTCTCGCTATGCTAAAGAAACTGCTAACCCAGGAGTGCTGGTTCTTCTCGGTTGTGGGACCATTTCCAGCACATGCGGCCAGTTGGCCAGTTACCCTCTCGCTCTGATCCGCACACGCATGCAGGCCCAAGGTAAACACTCAGGCCAGAATATACACCTCATCTATGCTTTTGCACTGTGATTGTGATTTGCCTAACATTTCCTTTTATTCTTCCCAGCATCAATGGAGGGATCAGAGCAGGTGTCCATGTCCAAGTTAGTGAAGAGGATCATGGAGAACGAGGGCTTTTTCGGGCTGTACCGTGGGATCTTGCCCAACTTCATGAAAGTGATCCCAGCTGTCAGCATCAGCTATGTGGTGTATGAGTATATGAGGTCTGGATTAGGCATCTCAAAATGATGAATTTTCATATGACAGAGTCTTGCATGTTTTACACGCACAACTTTTAACCACCTCTCTTTGAAAACACCCTCCATGATGGGAAAAATTTTGTTCAGTTTGGTTGCATTTTGTTCAGCAACCAAAGTGTTTAAAATATCAACTCTGGAAAAAGCCATGATGGTGTCTTGCCTTGAAGTTGGGGCCCAACCTAATGAATGTTTACACTGAAATATAAATGTACCTATGTGTGGTTAATAAATATCTGAAATATTCTGATAATATTTTGATCGATTTATATGCTTTTATTATGTGACCATGTTGTGGTTATGTAATAACTGACCAGAACAATGAAGCCATTGTGAGCCAGTGCACTATAATGCTATACAGGTTCAGTCTGTTTTATGATCGATAGATAGATGGAAAGGTGAAAAGATAGAGAGAGATATATATAGATAGATAGAGAGTAATTATACCTTATTATACAGAGTTCAATTTTTTAAGTGAATTAGGTTGGGCCATATTCAAGTCTTTATACACTTCAGTCAGTAATTTTCATATATGTTCTGTGAAAAATGCGAAACATCCACAGTAAAACAAGGACCAGAGAAACAATCCAAAATGGGAGCCCACATAAAAGAGCTAAATGTGCCTTACATCATTGTTCGATCTCTGCGTGGGTTCCTTTGCATCTCAACTCTACATTGGAAATATGACTTTAACTTGTGTTGCCTTTTATCCCCAAAGTTTGGTTATTTTAGTAACAATTGTTTACATTAAAGGTTGTATTTTAATACAATGTGTTGTGTTTTATTGCACATTACCAGATAATTTTTTTAAAAAAAAGATATTAATAATGCTTAATTTTTTTTAGCAAGAAACCATTAATTTGATCAAAAGTGACAGTAAAGAAATTTATGTTAAAATGTTAAAGGGATGGTTCACCCAAAACTGAAAATTCTGTCCATTTTTTTCTTCAGCTGAACACAAAAGAAGATATTTTGAAGAATATGAGCAACCAAAAAGGCACAAGCCCCATTGACTTCCATGGGATGGGGTGGGGGACTGTAATGAGGCCCATCAACTGTTTGGTTACTGACATTCTTCAAAATATCTTCTTTTGTCTTCAGCAGAAGAAATACATAATTCATACAAGGTTTGAACAACATGAAGGTGAGTAAATGACAACATTTTCAATTTACATTCACTGAAAACTTTAGTAATTATTACTGAAAATTCAGCTTTGCCATCACAGGATTAAATTATATGTTAAAACATATATTATACTACTGTTATTGATCAAATAAATGCACCCAGCATAAGACTTTTTTGTTTTTCGCAAGAAAAAAATCCATAAACAAATGAATCCCAACCCCACACGATTGAGCTACCATGTAGAGGAAAAGCTCAAGTTCTTTTGAATTATGTTGGAATAATGTAAACTTGACAACGTGATAAAGTCAAAATGAAAAGCCACGCTTTGTAACTTTGCATGTAACAAACGATATAAGGATTAAAGACTTGAGAGAAACTGAAATGGCTTACACAACTCTGACGCAAAAGCTGGCCTTCTCAGTGTGTTTGGATTCGCTCAGACTTCCTTAGCAGCACGCTGTTATGAATGATTCAAGTACATTATACTGGACACTGAAGGGCAGAGGAATTCTTCCTGATAAAAGCTTTCAATTACGTCCTCATTACCGAAGTGGCTAATAATAATATGCTTGATGTAATTTGCCATGTCATAAGTATCAATGTAGATTAGCTGTATAGTGCCATCTGCTGGCAGAAAGACGTTTTTCTATAGATAGAACATGTCTAAAAAGAAGTATAAATGTACGAGGAGGTGAAAATATTCTTTTAGGTTTTTTTGTGCCAATAATACACAGCTTAAGTAAGTGTTTTAAGGAATTTAGGATAAAAATGTACACTATAAGACACGTTTATGATTTCCTTTTTATTAAACCGTCCTTTTTTGTTTTGAGTTTCCTCCACACAGTTTTCCCTGAAATACACATGCATTTTACTCTCATTAACAACCCTCACTCAATGTACATTAATTTACAAAGGGAAATTTAAAATCAAATTGCTACCAATATTTTAAACTGATAGTCCAAAATTACAAACCTCTGAGAAGTATTTGATTGTCATAGAACAATGAGTGCAAGTTGAACTAAAATGACCCATAGCTCTCCTTTGTCTCAGCAGTTCATCATAATGCATCCATGCATTATGCTTTGAATCTGGACTCTCATAAACAAACATAATATACAGAACAAACAAAATGGCACCAGTTCAGCTGACATACAGCAGAAACCCCAGGAATACTGAAATACTGCACAGAGTAAAGCTATGTGGTTCATGCAAGAGCAATAGGCTTTCTTTCAAACCCACATAAAGTAAAGAACAGTAAAGCTATGCACATGTTTTGTAAAGTTATGACCAGTCTCACAACCTACAATTTGCTAAAAAGTCTGCAGTGGCTGACACAATAATAATTTAACTCAGTAGTGTTAACTTATTATTTTTAGATAATGTTTCACTTTAGTATTTATCGCATAGGAACCAATTTACAGACATTGCAAATCCATCATGGAAGGAGGTGAAAAAAAGTAAATAAAAACAAAACAAAAACATTAAATATCCAAAATGGTCCATCAAGAAGAGCTGATACAGCAAATAGAAATATAAAAAAAAACTTTTTTTGGGGGGCCAAAACCAAAAAGAAATGATCTATAATCTCCAGTACGAGAAGTAATATAAAACAGGGAAAGGATTAAATAAAAACTGTGTAAAAGAAAGAAAAAAAGAATGGACAATGAAAAATAAAATACAAATAAAAAGGAAAAAAGCAACATACTAAAACTTTGGCAATAACACAGAACAAACATATTATATCAAGACTACAGTAGCAGGCTGACTGAAAGATTATTGCACCATCGATCTTCAGCTCGTCCCAGGGGTGACTTTCATTTACAGTGTAGCAGGTCTGGCTGGTAGCACAGTAGTATTATAATTGCACATTAATTTTGTTGCTGGTTCAATATCAAACCTTAACACCAAACATAAACCCATAAAATGTTGCTTTGGTTAAAGACATGGATTGCCAATCCATAAGTCTATTAATACTAATCTACTCAAATGCAACTTTGAGAGCTTTTTGGTGGTTCTTATGTAGCAAATAAAACTGACTAATAGACATAATCTTAATCTACACATAATCCAGAATATCTAATGCATTTTATGGTGAAATAATATGACACTGATTGACTCAGAGAAAGGGAGAGACAGCAGCGCTCAGTCTGGAGGACATCTGTAGTCTTTCACTCCCCTGTGCCGGCCATGAGGCAGTTGTCACTTTGTGCCGATCCTGAGCGTGAGGGGTCACGAAATTCCAACCAAGAGAGGAGGCGTATTGGAGGGAGGCTCCTGAGACCTCACCTGAACAAAAAGTGACAGGAGGAGTCATTATTATGTTACATAAGAGTCACTGTGTCATTACAGGACAAACCGAAATGAATGTTCTTTATTTAGATTATGCACAAACAAACAAAAACTGGTTCTGTAGTTTCCCTCCACACCAAGAGAGGGAGGCATACTATGTGATGACTACTTTCATTGTCAGATCTGACAAACCTATTGAACACAAAAATGAGCTGACTGACATGATTAGTTCTGATATGACTGACTGGATTACCCAGAATGCCACAATAAACTTCTGAGGAGGAAGGTTCAAATGAACCTATTGAAAGTTTTTTGTTTTGTGACATACAAGCTTCAATTATACAGGTAATCTCTTTTAGATAGTACTCAAAGTGCAAGTTAACCAACCATTCAACATTTTTGGGGAAAGTAAGATTTAAGATATTAATACTTTTATTTAGCAAGGATGTCTGTTGTTTTCAGATTTTTTTTTTTTTTTTAATTTTTTTTTTTGCTGCCTGAAAATATAATGACAAAGAAAATGGACGACACTTCATGCTGGTTACGCAAGATTGGGTCAGGCAAGCATGTGTTGCTAGACAAACACATACACACTAACACACACTTATACCAGTACCTCTATCAGACCAGGAAGGAGTGGATGAGACTGAATAGAAGGATGAAGGGAGAGGGGTGCAGCTTAGAGAGGCAATCTTGAGTTCATTCTTCTGGAATAACTCAGAAGACATAGAGATACAGAGGAGAAGGAACATAACCCAATGAGAAAGAGCCGGAGACAGAGCCTTTAATAGCTAGCAATCGTTTGACGGAGTCCTTTTAGTTTTGTTCCTTTGACGAAAATATCTATTCGGTTAAAAACTATTCATTCAGACATTGAAAAACCATTTGGGCTACAGCAGTGGCGGCTGGTGGAAAATTTTCTTGGAAGGGCTGCAGTTACTAATCAATTTCAGCAAACATCCCAGTATGATGCTATTTTCTGCAGGCCCTTTATTTTGTTAAGGAAAAGTAAAACAATATTCGACATTTTTCTTTAATCACAATGTATGTATATACTTCAAAAGCAAAAACTGAGAATAAAAATTTACATTTGTTTAGAGCTTTTTCATATCTAACTACATGCCAATATGTGATACCAAACAGGACCACATGGAGATTCCAGCCGCCATCTTGACCTGACTGCATAGAGTATACTATACAGATCCATTCAGAATTACCAAACACAGCAAAATACAGCATTCTGAAGGTGAGTCGACAGCATCGGTGAACAGTTCTGTCAGAGCGAGTGTTTGTGTCTGATGTCCGAATGTACATAAACACCACTGACACTCGCAAACTCCTCCAAAACATGCTTCTTAGGCGAGCATCCATTATTAAATCACTAGACTGTATTGAAATGTGCTCATTTTGGCTTCATTACAATCGTCATCCATCAAAACCTAGCGCCCTCTATTGGCCAGCCGCCACTGGGCAACGCTTTGAGTGTGTGACGGGGATCATGCTTGAGGTTGTAAAAGAGAAGCATATGAATGGTAGAAGAGGCTTACCTCTAGATTTGAGCGAGCCTGTTTCAACACATCTCGCGTTCTTGACACTGGAAACAAACAAAAATAGTGAAGAGAAAAACAATAAGCATTGGGTAAGAAATAAGCAATAACCAAAAAAAAAGAGGAAAGAGAAGAGAGTCACTCACGTTGATTGACAATGAATTGCTCCATGCTGTCTTTAGTGCGACTGGAGGTCCTCAGATTCTCCATCGTGACCCTGAGAAGCTGCTCTTGCTCTGAAAGCTTGCGCCTCAGTGCTACAACCTCTTTTCTCAAAGACTGCTCCTACATAAACATTTAAAAAAAAATGTGTCGGATTACACCAATAACTGACATTCAGATTGGTTTTATTATTGGTTTAGTCAAGTAAAGGTGCATTCCTGAAATCCTTTTCTGTTGCTGTTGGTGTGAATGTCTTTTTACAGGCACATGTGATGTCACAAAGTAGCACAAAAGTGGATAGTGTTTCCAAGACTTATTGTGATAACCAAAATGTACTTAAGTGCCCTCTGACCTTTTTTAGCTGCTGGGCCGAGGCCTCAGTGCTGGGCAGAGCCGCCCTCCAGAACATTCTCAAGAGAGAGCTTGTCTCCTCCAGAATCTGCTTCAGTGTTGTAGTGCTGGCATGCAAGTTCCTCACATAACCCTGCAGAGAGAGCCAACGAAACATTTAATGGTCTAAATGTTCGACTGTAGGCAGGCATACTTTTGCAGAAATGTTCATACTTGTGCTTACAGTATGTTTTATAATATATATATATATATATATAATCCAGTCATGGCAAAGCTGAATTTCGGCAGCCATTACTTCTACCAATATATATTTTTCTTGATTTTTTTAATTAACAGAAAGTTGAAAAGAATACCTTTTTTTTAAATAGAATTTTTTTTAAGAATTATGACTTTACTGACACTTTTGATCAAATTAATGCATTCTTGCTGAATAAAAGTATTTTCTTCCAAAAATTATATATATATATATATATATATATTGACCATAAACTTTTGAACCGTAGTGTATATATTGAATTTTTGTGAAGTCTATTAAAATCTTTACTCATCTTCTGCAATATAATCGTAATTTGGGAGGCTTTTCTAAGCAAATATTGATATATGCATTTTTTTTTTGATTGATTTAATCATCATATCTGTATTGTCTGTCCTCCTAGTATCACATCAGCCTTTCATCTTAACTCAGATCTTTATACTAACCTCCGGAAGGTCATGTGATTCAGTGCTGGACTGCAGTGCCGCCTCCATTTTGCAGATAACCACCTTCCCCTCCAGTAGCTGCTGCTGAAGGGCACTGAAGTCATCTACGTGACCAATCATATGATGGCCCGTCCTGCAGGCGAAGGAGCCGTCAGGGGCCTCAGCTTCCAGATCTTCAGCAGCAGACTTTGGCGAGTCTAATCAGAAGATGTGCGTTGATTAATCAGTTTGCACTTAGTTGACTGGTGGTTTATCTGTTATATAAAGCATCAAATGTGTTTTATATAAGACTCTTACCACTAGCAGAATACTTTGGGTTATCTAGTTCCACGGCTGGTGAAGCAGGGCTGGAGAACCCTGTATCTCGAACGGGGGGAGATGATGATTGGTCTACAGCAGACGGTGACACAAAGGTTAATGGAAATATCATAAATATAGCACAATGAATCCACAAATATGTGCATTTAAGTCATGATAAACTTCTTATACTGTAATTAATTCTCTCACCGTGGAATAGCTGTTTTCTGGCGGAGAGGCGAGGCATACACTGGTCCAGCCTCTCTCTCAACTGCTGCTCCAGCAAATTAATTTTAGACTCTCGCTCACGTAGGTCAAAGGTAGTAGAGTAGCCTAGAGTAGTAGAGGGCGCAATATATCAGTACATCAATTCAAAATATTATTTTAATACTGTTTATTAGGGTGTAACAGTACATGCATTCATACCAAAAGTTTTCAAGACGGTTCTTTCTATTCATGTGTACCGATCGAAATGTGTGCCGGGCCGGCTTACATGTACACGTCAAATAGATGGAGCAGATTAGAATGGGAGTGCAATAATTCTAACCTTATTCTACAACATTTTTAAGACATATTTTAAATTCAAAAATTGTAAGCACTTCAAATCTCTTCCCTCAACAGTACCATAAACTGCATTGTTGTTGCTGTACAACATGGAAAACCACGTTTTTTTTCCCATGTGCAAAGTTTGTTTCACAGGTGACCATGTTTTTGCACATGTGAAATTCATGGTGTTTTTTCAGTAAACCACTGTATAATACAAAAAATGTTTGTCTGCTGTATCAAAGACACACCAAACCTTCGAACCGTTCCGTTACACCCCTACTGTTTATTCAATCATAATTTTATCGACCTATCCTGAAAGTCTGATGCACTGCAGAATGTTTGTTGTCATTTTACAATCTAACACAATTTCCAGTAATTTGCTTTATGAGTTTCAGGCAGATGTATTTGTTTCTTACCTGTATTGCTCTCGGTAGTGCCACAGACTCTCTGATACACCTGTAGTTCACACTGCAGTGTGTGCACTAAACATTGACACTCACTCAACTGCTGCTGGAGAACATTCACTTCGTGCTGTAGCCTGTTCACAAATGTATACACGTACACATTATTCAAAGCAGTCTGACACATTTTTGTCAAGGGCAAAATCTCAAAACCAAAGGGCAAAAAGGGTCATTGTAGACTGACACTGTACCTGGTGCTGTTGTCCAGGCTGTTCTGTTTGTCTTGTTTGAGCTGTAGTACTACCTGAGCCTGCTCTCTAATCTGAGCCTGCAGACGTCTGCATTGATCCGCCCACCTGCCCGCCTCTAGCTCCGCCTGCTTTAACTGGCCACGCCCAGACAGAACCGCCTCTCTCAGCCGCTCCGTCTCTTTAATGCCGTCTGCCCGAAAATACAAAACATCTCAGGGCTAAGGAAATCTTGCCACATTTTTGTTACTTAAAATTAATTAAGTGTAAACTGAAGTGCTAAATAAACTAGCTAACAAGGTAACATTTGCATTTTCATTAAGCTTAAAGTCCCCCTATGGAGTCAATACCAATATATGAGTGAATACCATTGCTGCGTATTTTCTCCTTAAAACTGGAGTGAACTGAAAACTGTGCAGTTTTCAGTATGCATTAAGCTACTATTCCATTTGTGAACACTGACAAAAATTGTGCTTGCTCATTTACTCTCAATATATTAAAGATGGTATATAGTACTACCGCTAACATTCCTTACGAATATAGTATGACTAAGAAAATCTTACCTGTCCTGGCCTGTTGGAGTTGGTCCTGCAGGGTGTGATTTTCCTCTTTAAGCACTCGAATCTCATTGGATAGCTGATTGACAGAATCAAGGCCTTGGATATAGATGTTAGTGGGTGCTCCTCCTGGGAAAAATAGATACATTTGAAACTTGTATGAATTATGTAAATATATGTATACAAGCAAAGATATTCCATTTTAAAGCCAAAACACACTGATGGATTTTCTTTTTGGACGAATGTGAATGTGTAAGTCTCTGACCTCCATTTCGTGTAGAAGAGGCCAGTCTCTCCTCCAGCTGTTGTCTCAGACGGTCATTGGTCTGGATAGAATCTTCTAGACGCTGTCGGAGAGAGCGAATTTCCCTAAGATGCTCCTCCATCAAGTCTGCGCCTGAAGTATATTATAAAAACAGCACAATAAGCTTTCCAAAATATGTGACAAGAACTTATTATTAACATTAGGACAAACAATGTGATTTCCACAGCTGGAGCACCTGTATGGCCTGACTGATATCCCGAAGAACCAGAGGACACGTCTCCATAAACGCCTGGTCTTGTAGGTCTTTGGCCATACATCATATCCCACATTGCACTGCTCTCCAGAAGGCTTGGCCCTGATTTCATAGCGGGACTGGTGTGTCTGCTTCTGACAGGTGACTGTTCAAAGGCATGATGGGATAGTGGGTGTAAACTGCTATGGTCAAGCTGAGCATGGGAGCCCAGAGGAAACGCAGGAAGGGGTTTGATCTGAGGACCATGGTAGCCTGTATTGGGATAAGAAAGCCAAATATCAATGGAGATAATTTAAGCAGTGTGAGAATATATGCATTACTGATCAAAGCGTTTAGGGTCTATGAGATTTGCAATGTTGCAAAAGTGTCTTATGCTCACCGACGCTGCATTTATTTGATCAGAAATACAGTAAAAACAGTAATATTGAGCAATATTATTGAATATGAGAAAATAACTTTTCTCTTTTAATATAATGTTAAAATGTCATTTATTTTTCTGTGAAATCAAAGCTGAATTGTCAGCATCATTAGTCCAGGTTTTAGTGTCACATGATCCTTCAGAAATCATTCTTATATGTTGATATGCTGCTAAAGAAACATTTCTCAATATTTCTCAATATTATCAATTTTGAAAATAATATGTTTGTGGAAAACATTTTCCATAATAGATTTTTTTTCTGACCAATGTAAATGACTTTACTGCTTACTTTAGTTTTAATGACAAGAATATGGATAATATAAGTATATTGTTGAATTTAAGTATTCAGTACAAGTATTAAAACGAAACAATAACAATCTTACTGACCCCAAAACATTTGAATGGTAATGTACACTGAAATATGATTATATTGCAAATGCAGGTAAAAACATATTAAGAAAATAAATAAATAGGTGTAGCATGAACAAGATGCAAATGTGAGTAAAGCTACCTTACAATGACTGATCTCAGTTATTTATGAAAATCTAAGCGCAATAAATACAATTTTGCATGCCATCTATTTTCCTATTTTTACCATTAGTATATCAAATTTAGTGAGGTCTATGCTTAAAACAAGAAAACAAAATCATGCCAAAATCATATCCTTGTCAGTGTATAACAAGGTAAGATAAATCATTTTAATTCACAATATATCCTCAAAAATATTGTTGTTTTTTTATTGGAAAAAAACATATTTTTGCATGCGTATTAGTCAGTCAAGATTCAACGACTGCAGAAATCATCAATAGATTCTAAAGTTTGATTAACAAAAAGGTTACAAATCAGTTTACTTTATTGTATTTCAATCAACTATCTTATTTTCTTTTTGGCAATAGCATTATTCCAGTTAAGAGTTCAAATCTTGCCTATTCTTTACTGAATCAGTCACAGAATTAGTATGAATTATTCAGTGCCACACACACACGGATGCAGGCTCACTGTTTCCAAGCTGTTTCTGGAGCATTTGAAGCTCTTGGTGAACCTCTGCCAGTGAGAATCCCACACCATAAGGGTGACGGGTTCTCAAGGGATGAGTTTGAGGCTCAAACACGGGTGGAGAGGACATTTGAGGACAGTGGAGGGAGGTGGAGAAAGAAATGGAGCTGGACAGAGGTCCAGTAGAGAGGCCTGATGGGAGGACACATGGAGAAACAGCTACAGATACTTCATTGTGTGAAACGTTTGCTGGTCTATAGAACAATCTAAACCTTTTCATATATCATTAATTAAAAAACAATACACTACCATTACAAAAGTTTGGGCTATTTTTTTTTTATAAATAAAGATTACAAAACAACAGCATTAATTGGATATAAAAACCTTTTGTAACACTATAAATATCTTTTATGCATCCTTGCTGATTTAAAGTGTTAATTTCTTTTTAAATCATACTGGACCCAGACATAGTGTACATAGTGATAAAATAACATTGTTATGAGGGATACTTAAAAGGGTATGTGTGATTTGGTACCCTCGCATTGCACTCTTCCTACCTGTCTGTGCCTGGGTTTCCATTGGGCTGTGTGGTGTGCATTGCATGCTGGGACAGGTGTTGGAGGACTGGTGGCTGTGAGAGGAAGTAATAGATGGAGGATTGGATGGATGTAATGAGGTTGAGCCTCTATGGGTATGTGAATCTGAAACAAAACAGATGGATAATGAAAAGAGGTGAATGAGAAGCTAACCTGAATATGATAAAGTGGTAAAAACATGATAAAATGTTCAAATATGATGATAATAAATTCAAAAACCTGTGGCACTTCTTGCTGCCTCCTCATGGCCATATTCACTGGCAGCATCTAGCTCGGAGCACAGCTCAAGATCCTCATTGGTTGAGCCGTGGTCTTCTGACACAAAAGAGGTTCTGTCTGATTGGTCTGTGGCCACAGAGAGGGCATGGCTGCTAGTAGGTGTATCCGTTCGTGGTTGTTGCTGGTCAAGTTTAGAGCGTAGGGACTCAATAAGTTTGTCTTTCTGTTGTAGCTCCTTACTCAGCCTGAGAACAGACAAAAATGACATTTTGCATAGATCGCATTTAATATTGAGCTTATTGTCTGCCATGAGATGACATTGGGTTTTATGTATAATGTTCAGATATCACAGTGGGTTGGGATACCCAGCTGCAGAAATAGAAACCAAGTGATCATCAAAATATCCTGCTGCTTGTTGCAGTTGTGGCTATTTATAATGGTCAGTACAAAAACAGAACCATTGATTACAATCTCAACTCAACTTTTTCATCACTTTTCATTCAATACACAAGTAAATGTGTATAAACCACTTAGGATTATTTTTGTTAATGTGCCAGACACATATGATGAAGCGCTTGTGTCGTGCTTTTCCTTTCTGTAAGTCAAATTTGCTAAACAAATAAATGTAAATGTCAGGTTCTGATAAAAGTGAGTTTTGGGTTTATTATGCTTATGTGGATTCAAATTAGGCGTGTTGTACATGCAAATTGTCACTATATTCTGTTTGGCACGTGCCAAGTGTGTCCCGCATGTAGGGCATTAGGCTAATTTTGTACCCACAATTCGTTCAAAGCTGGATTAATTAGGACCTGTTTTTGTTCTGTCAGAGCCCAAGCCAACACACACACACACATACATGTTGGGTTAACCTACCCTAAATTAATATATTTTTACATTTTCAAAAAAAAAAAAAAAAATTATTATTATTTATAAGCTGTGTTCCGCATGGGGATAAAAAAAAGTCCCCGCATGGTCAAACATTTTAAGTTTTACTACAACGTAGGTGTTTCCCAGATCACACACCAAGTTGCAGTCTGTGCCATCTCTCTCACACATGCTCTCACATCTCACAATACATTCACACGACAAAACCCGTTGAAGTGTCTGTCAGCACAGTGTGAATTGCCCTTTACAATACAAAATTAACAACAAGTAAAACATTGCTCTTTCTTCTATTCCACAGACAGCAACTTTTTCAGAAGCTAAAGACCTAGTAAGCTGCCTTACTGTCTACATAGGCACCTGTCTCCCAAGACAACATCCTGACAGAAATGGAACCCCATAAAAAGTTGTATTTTATTCAGCAAGGATTCATTAAGTATTCATCTTTATCAAAAGGTAAAGTTATTAGTCACAAATATTTCCATTTTAAATAAATGCTGTTCTTTTTATCAAAGAATCCTGGACAATCCACAAAAACATCACACAGCAACTGTTCTTGAGCACCAAATCAGCATATTAGAATGATTTCTGTAGGATCATGTGACACTGATGACTGATGAAAAAAAACCTATTTAATACTGTAATACTGTTTTTACTGTATTTTTGATTAAATAAATGCCTTGGTGAGCATGAGTATGGAAGCTAGTTTCCACCACAGAATAAAACATTAGGACTTTTCATCTCAGAATTTTGAGTTAACATCTCGCAACTCAGAATTTTTTTCAGATTGTGAGATATTAACTTCCAATTGCGAGTTATAAAGTCCAAATCTGCGGGGAAAAGTATCTCAGAATCACTTTTGACTTTATAACAAACAATTCTGACTTTATTTGACTTTATATCTCACAATTCTGAGAAAAAAAGTCTGAATTTCAAGATAAAAAGTCGCAATTATCCTTTTTATTTTTTTATTCCGAGGCGGAAACAAGCTTCCATACATGAGACTTTCAAAAACATAAAGAATCTTAACACCCCCAAACTTTTGAACTGTAGACTACACAAACACAATATATTGGTTTAAATAGTTTTAAGCTTACAAAATGATTCACATGGTCCGTAAAACACCGTGAAGCTCTTACTTCTCAATCTGTCTGTGCAAGGTTCTTCTTTCCCTTTCTGCCTGCTTCTTGAGAATAGCCAACTCTCTCTTCAGCACTTGCCATTCCCAAAGAGAGAAGGAGAAGAGGGAGTCCCGGTACAGGGGGCTGCTTTTGGATAGCATGTTCTTCCAAAGTGGAGCCATGGCCCCCCGACCAGCCTGACCCCTTATGCTCCCTTGAGGCCTGGTCACCGCCACTTCATCCTGACTTTCCAAACTCACGACTGGCTGGGAAACACAGAGGAGCACATCAGGGGCTGCAGGATCGGCAGCCGGCGTGGTGCCTGTCAACTGGGTCTCCGTGGTAACTGGGCTGCAATCATTCGTTTGACGAAGGAAGGGGGGTTTGCCCAGATTGAGAGTATTGATGGGGGAGGAGTTGGGAATTCTCCAGCAGGCAGTTCGGTGAAGAGCAAAGCAAATCCCGAGATTACACTAAAAGCTAAGAGACTGATCTGTTTATTCCCAAACACAAAGGAGAGTTTTAATAAATCCACATATGCACAAATACCAACTGTTGTGACATCCCGCGTGGCAGTGGTCTTACCCTTGCCGGATAACAGGAACAGATCAAACACATCCTTGAGGAACTAATCAAAAAGCCAACTTGAAATTCCTGGTTTCTATTTCAAAGAAACATAAGCCACTGATGTTGAATCCGAAGTACGTCCTTCTTCTCAGAGACCAGTGCTTTTCTATTTATTCCCAAAAGAGGAAAAGGGTAATCAGAGTCTCTTCCTGAAACGTAACGTCCTTCCCCATGAGCTCTCAAACACAACAAACCCTCATGGTGAAGTGTGTGTGTATGTGTGGTCCTTGCCGTTGGGCTGAAGTGTTCCTCTGTGCATAAACAGGGAGCTTCAGTCAAAAGAGACACAACTGTGTTCCAATAAACAAACATAAAGCCTATCCAGACTATTAAATGCTTATAAAATTAGGACATTTTAAAGAATGTCTCTTGTAAATCATCACAGCATTGCTTTTGCTAAAAAGTTCATTCTTATTTCTTTATGGTTTTGCGTATCCGCAACAAAAATACGACAAATGAAAAGACGATGATATTCTGTCGTCCCTCCTCTTGTGGCATTCAGTCACACTCTTCTTTCATATAGCCTCGCATGTGGTCTTCTCCTTCCACCGTCTTCTCATCTTTCTCGCTCTCTTTCTCTGTCAGCTTCAGCTGCCTCTGACCTATTTCACTCATGAGGTTTTAATAACTTAACCTGATTAGCGCTGAAGTCAACACCCAATCCAGAGACGGGTGGTCACAGCAAAGCAACCAACCATGTGACAGCTCTCTCCCAGGGCAAATGTTCTCGAGAGGACACGAAAAACACACATTAAACACTTAGGACATCAAACCGATGCAAAATCCCCTCCGTTTTCACTCAATTACAAGCTCCGGCTAAATGAACGGACTGGCAACAAAATAGGGATAAGTCCAGCTGGCATCTGGTTGGCCATCTGCGCACCCTTTCTCTCTCTTTCCCCTCATTAAAGGCTGCAGTGTTACAGGCAAACAGAAACATTTCCAGAAGGAGATTACACTGGGTATCATCCTTTTCTGGCTGTGAGCTTCCATTATGACAGATCTACGAAGGAAATAAGGGACGAAGAGGTGACATGCCACTACCAGATTGACAAAGATGGCTCTAAACTGCAATTAAAGCCATTAGGAAGATGACAGATCAACTGTGATATAAGAAGGGAATTATATTATTGGTTAAATGGTCCTTTGGAAATTAGTCATGGTTTGGTGCGGTAGGAATCATAAAGAACTTAATGGTTTGGGTTCCGATTCCTCTTAACAATATATTAAAAAGCATTACTAAAACAAAACAAATGTTAACATATTTCATCCATTTACTCATAATGTGCATCAAGATTAACAGTTAAATGCATGGATGTTTTGTCAATCATTACTACATATTCGGGTCTTCAGCGACCCGGATTTATATCTAAAACGAATAGATCTCTGCCTGTCACGATAATATAAGACTCTCCTGATATTAGAGTAACAATTACAGAAGAATAACATAACAGATGTTTAATACCATCAACAACGTCTTCGTCAGAGGAAGTTTATTATTGTTTATAATTAATTGATTGAGGAATACTTGAATACTAGAAAAAAATGAATGAGGAGGAGGGTCGTGAATGACGTGCCGGGTCAATAAAGACCCGAGATATGCATTTAAGACTTAACTATATTGTTATAGAGTTAACTATATAACTATATATTGGACCACACTGTCGCGCTGTATATTTCAATGCTATAAATACAGTAGCGGTGTTGCGGCAAGGCTGAATGAGTAGTGCAAGAATTTATACTGTATATGTGTACGTATAAATATGTATTTATATACAGTATGTGTTCCATCTGTAACGGTTGAAAATTTAATGTGTGCGAAACCCGTTAACATAACCAAATCTTTTCATAAAAAAAAAGACATCCTCTGATCTCTATAGGGTGTCTCTCTATTCTCTTTAAAATATGACCATCTCTTCAACTAACCCATCCAGCAAACCAATTAATCCCAGCTGTGGATGACTCAGAGTGCAGATACATGGATCCAGACACAAAAAATGAAAAGGCGGAATGCAGTAGAGCTTGATTTCACCAGAGTTGAGAGCAACAGCCAGGTCATTCTTGTAATCAGGTCAATTTGTCTAGATGTTCCAGCAGAAACTTCAAAAATATTAATATTTTAAAATATATATATATATAAAAAATGCTTAATAAATCCATGAATCCGCCATTGCATTCAATATACAAACACAGATGACTCTGTTCACAGGCAGACAGTGCAGATCTTCCCAACTCATGCACGCACCAGCTGACTACCGCTCAACACAATGTATGATGGTGTAAGGGAAAGAAAAATAAGGGTCATTTCCTGTAGGGGAATGGGGGCATGAATTCTGCTCAAATGTCCCATGAGTTCTAAACATTTCAGAGATGCCCTAGAACTAGCGGTGACATTATGTAGCAAAGCTTCTGACAGTTCACATTAGCATTAGTGTACAGCATCGCTTAACCGGCCTGCGGGCAAAGTCAAATAAGTCCACTTCAGTGCCCGCGAAAGAGGAGAATGAAGTAAGTGATTTACAGATGGAGGTGTAAGGGAAGAGATTATGAAAGAAAAGAGAAACGGAAACAAACAAAAAACCAACATCTCAATACTGAAGGTCACATGTCAACAGATTTAATTGTAAAACTGGCGACAACAAAAAAAAGTTGCTTTCTGACTATAACATTATTTGAATTTATATTAACTTATTAGTGTTGTGATCAAAATACAAGCTTTACATTTTAAACCCAATTAAAAGGTTAATTTATCCCAGAGGCTTCCTCTGTAAGTGCATTCCCATTTTCTGTTTTTACAAACTTTATACAAACTGCGCTTCCTTAACCCCAAATGCTGATTCATTCATCCAGTATAACTGGATTGACCTTTTTTAGTGCTTTGTATTTATATGTACTGGGATTTGACCATGTCTCATTACTGAAATCATCTCTCACATTGATTCATTCGGCACAGACCGAACTTTCCATGATGCTTACTGGGTGAAAACTCATCACAGCTGGTGTCCAAGTCAATAGGACGCAGAAATGCTCTGTGGTTATTCCACCAAATGCATGCACTGCCAAAAATGAATCATTACATAACAAGCTGTTCTGCTTTATGATCACATAAAATATACTTTTAATGCACTGAAAGCAATTAGACTTTACTGAGGAAAAATGCTGAGCAAAGACACTCCCCAAAGGCTCTTTATTGGGAGTTTAAACAGAAATTTATGTCAGTACAGTCAGTCAATATGAAACAAATCTCTAAAAATCAATATGGCCCATATGCAGTGCTCATCACATGTTCTGGCTGATTTGGTGTACTGACAGCAAAGGGAAACCTAATTCAGTTCTGAAGTGGTATAATGACAAGGTGTGATCAATTGACCTATGGCTAAGCCACGCCCCCTCCACTCGCTCAGACAAACAGTCAACCCTCGGGGACGGGCGCTATGGCAGCTGTCACAGTAAGAGACAGTTCACAGGAGGCAATTGGTGATTTTTGGAGACAGAAAGATTATATATCATCACAAAGTCACCTAAAGGGTCTCATTGGAGGGTTATATTAATAATTTTATTGTTGAGAAGGTCGATGAAAAGCTTCAGCTCCAGGCAAAAAGGTACAGGTCACAGTGTAAACGTGATAACCCCGCATATCATTGCCGTTTGGTTTGCTACAGTATTTACATGAATCATTCAGCACAACATTGTTAACATTTGTTATCTCGGTTATTTACAGATACGTTAATGAAGCTAAGTGACATGATGTACAACGCAGCTAGAAGCTAACGTCAACGTTTTCTAATGTTAGGCTAACGTTAGCCTAACTTTTACATTCAAATAAGATAACGTTTAAATACGTTGTTGACTTAACTAAGAGAACAGATGTAGACATCCTTGTTTAATTTATCCACGTTTAGTTGGTGTTGTGGTCTACCGCATAACTTAATCCAGAGCAGATACTTATCACTAGTGTTGGAGTTGCATGTACCCCATGCACACCGTTGACCATTTTAACTTAAAATGACAAGAAAAAACGAATGAAAACTGACTAACTGTAGTTAATTTCAATGGATGTGGAAGCAGATAATGTCCGAGTGAATTGGGTTAGCTGCGCACTGTGATTGGCTCATAGCGTTTGAGGGCGTGGCATAGCCATAGGTCAATTATACGTTCAGTTGACTCACCGTATTGCGAGCAGCTCATGTCCTGATTTATCATCTGGGACTTCAGAGTGATCTCCTGTAGTGATAAAATAATGAAATGCTTTTGTTACAGAAAGGCATTTAGAGATACAGTCAGATGTACAGTATATGGGTAAGTGTGCATGTATCACTCACGGCCGCTGATCTTGGTGCTGACTCTCTGGCGAGGGAGATGCTCTGAGAGAGCTGGTCTCTGAAGCTCTGTCCCATGTAGTAATCGATGTCATTGGAGCGCAGGAGCTCTTCAAAGGCCTTGGTGGTGTCTCCCAGGTGCTGAGTCAGAATATGGCACACGCCACGGCCCTCCCGCATCCTCTGACGCAGGTGAGACAGCTCACGGGCCTGCGCTTGGATCAGCGTGTCAAACTTACTGCAGAGAGAATGAAGCAATTATGCATCATTATTACTTAGAGTGAGAATACATGGTGTGTAATTTTAGTGCTATAAATTGATAAAAAAAAATGTAGCAAATAAACTATATACACACACATACACACACACATAGTATAGAGTATTCATAATATAATATGTAATATAAATATCGTTTTCAATAATATTGTATTACATTGCATACATAAAAATGAACACAAACAATAAAAAGGTAATATAAATGAAATGTAATATTGTTTTAAATTGCATAATCGCAAATTAAAAGTGATTAATTGCAAATAATGTAATATATACATTCAATATATATATATGTACAGTATTACATAAATGAACTCACCCCGGCCAGTTTACAGCCTTGCCATCTTCTGCTTGACCTTTGCCCTTCCTGAGCTGCTCCTCCAGTGATGTCACACGGGAGACAAGCTCCTGCAGCTCTCGGTCTTGCTTGGGCTGGCGGGGGAGAGAACCGAAGCCGTCAGACGACTGCCAGCCCTCGTCCTCCTCAGCTGTACTCTGTGCCTCAGAGTTATCCAAGCCCCAGTTGACCTTACGAAGAGTGCTGACTGGAGTTTGATCACGCGTTTGGGCCTGCAAGCTACGGATCTGAGCCTGAGATCGGGACAGCTGACCGCGCATGTCCTCTACCAGCTGCTGCAGGTACGTCACGTCATGTTCAGTCTTCCCAGAGTTCAGTGAGCTGGGACCACCCCACCACTGAGAGCAGCCATCACGATAGGAGAGAGATGTGCACAGCTCCAGATCATCAAACTCTGCAGAAGAGGAAGAAGTACATTTTGATATTGTCCTCAGAAAGAAAAAAGTCACCTTTATTTATTTAGCACTTTTTACATTACGGATTGTTTCAAAGCAGCTTTACAGTGATAAAGGAAATGAATGCAACAAAGATAAGTATGTACTATGCAACAAAACTAAATAGTAGAGCCCGACCGATAAAGGATTTTGACGGCCGATACCGATACAAATATTTTTGGGTTTTAAAATCCGATATTCCGATATATCGGCCGATATTTTATTTATTTTTTTATTTATTCTTTTAAACTAGACATGATAGTCACAAATTTTGTCATGCTTATTTGAGTTAAGGGAACTGATGGGGATGTTCTTTTAATTGTTATTCAAGCAATGTATGTACAGTATCGTGCCCAACTCAACGAGTGTTGCCAACAGAACGGTGTAGAGTGTCCTCTGGTGGACAAACTATACAACTCCAACGCTCGTGACATGGTTCAAGCGTGTTTCGTCCGTTTTTATTTTATTTTTGAAACATTCATTTATCGGCCATTATAACTGCCAATACCGATAGTTTGGAAAATGCATAATATCAGGGCGATAATATCGGTCTGCCGATATATCGGTCCGGCTCTATTAAATTCTATGACTTTAAGAAATGAATGCCCCCTAGTGGTCACTCCAAATGAGATTACCTGGGCTGCTGGTGTCTTCTCTCTCTGCCTCATTCTCACTGCGGCCACATGTTTCATAACCCAGATCCTGGATGTCCACCTGGACCTGCTTATTGTCCTGCTGTACTGATGTTTCCGCTAAACGAATGACCAGATAAACTTTAATTTAAAGCTTTCTATTTATGTGTGTAAGTGACAGTTAATATTCATACTGTAATAATGCCCTTTAAATTATTATAGCATTTCAAGATGTCAGATTTATTAACTTTAGTTCATTTTACTAATTTTAGCCAACAAAAATATTTTAGTTTACAAGAAAGAGAAACCAAATATTCAAACATTTTATATCATCGTTTAACAAAAAACAATTTGAAAAATGTTAGGGTCCTTGTTTGAATAAAAAAAGATTTCCTGAAAACACTCACTGAGCAGTTCTCTGTAATCTTTGAGTTGTTCGGCTTGAGCTTGAACTGTGGCCTCTGACACCATGAGTCTCTCCTGAAGCTCTCTGCTCTCCTGCTGGACCTGTTCAAGGTCAGACTTCAGACACACTGAATCCTTTTCATTAGGCTGAAACACAAATATGAATGGACGTTTGCAGTAAAGACCTATGGACAATATTTATTTACCCTCAGATTAAGTTAAACTCACCTCAGAGCCAAATGCTTCCACCACTTGTCCATCGGATATATCTGATGTGTTCTTCAGTCCATCGTTTTGAGGTTTTCTTCCTTTCACCATACTCTTCAGCTCCTCATTTTCAGAGCATAGAGTAAAGAAGGCTTTCCTGTTTTAGGAGCACACGCATTAAAATAATAACACTTTTCAGTGCAAAATAGCCTGTGTAACTATGTTTGTTATATGGATAGCTGTACCTCATCTGAGAGAGAGAGGAGAAGCCGGCCTTTTCCAGCTGGGACTTGAGCTCCGTCAGTTCTCTCTCTACTGCCCTCTTCTGCTCCACCAGTAGCTTGACCTCAGTCAGCCCGGACCTTCAGCTACTGCATCCTGGCAGCCTTTAAGACCTGTATGCTGATCACAGCTCTATGAAAGGAGGAAGACTATGCTTAGGAAAATGATTAGGAGACCTGTGCTATACTAATAAACTATGACTGTAGCCTCTGTATATAGAGCACTCAGAATTATACATTTTATATGCATCAATCCACATTTGATGTCTTATAAAAAAAATGCTTTAACCTAAATGTTGTTCTTGATATTTTATACTTCAGCCAGATTTTATATAAGTCATTTTATATGTAATAAAGTCATTTTAATTTATTTTTATTTCAGTTTTGATTATAAGGTTATTTCATTTATTTATTTATAAATATATATAAACCTAGTAAAAAAAATTAAAAAGCACATAACAAAACACCTAAAAATAAGTTAATATATAATAAATAAATATAATTTAAAATAATATATAATATAGAGTAATATTTATGATTTTGGTATAATATAGCAGCAGATATATATATATATATATTTAATTTTTTTTAATGTTATTTTTCTTTACTTAAAAAAATATTGATATTAAAGTTAGTTTTCTCTCCCTTTATAAGATAAAGCACTTTGAATAACCATTGTGTATGAAATGTACTATGTAAATAAATGTGCCATTCGATTGTATAGTATATGTCAGCATGGTTGTAGATTTTAATATTTTTTGTATTCTGCAACTTACTATAGTATAGTATTGTATAGAATAGTATGGTAAGCTAAATTTAAATATTTGAAGTTCAATGTAAATGCAAAATATGTTTCAGATTTGCTTTATATATAATATCTTCAGACATTGGCCTATATAACAAATATATTTATGACTATTACCAAAATACAGTAGTCAACATTTGAAGTGGATCAAAAAAGTTCATCAAAGTTGTCCTAAGACAAGAACAGGTATTGTTCAAAATTCATGTATAACTTTGATGAAAGGTTTTGATCCACTTCAAATGTTGACGACTGTACATACAGTCCTATAAAGCTTTCAGAATATTGACATACCTGTACACTGAGCAGAGACTGAGCAGTCAGTTTGGAGCGTTCCTCGTCTTCGGCGCTGTCAGCAAACTCACTACTGCAGTCTTCATCCTCCTCCTCTCCATCTTCTGAAGTGAAACCTAGAGGAAAAAATGTCCCCTTTTTAGTACACAAATACACCCAAACGTATTCACACACTCACATAGACACTGTGCACTGACTGTTGCACATGTCACTATGGAGACTAGTGAACATAATACTCTAACGAGGCTCGTCTTACTGACAGTGAGTAACCTTTCATCAGCAACGTATTCACAAACTATCTCAGCATAAAACCAAGCACATCCAGGATCATTTTGACTCTCAGTGGCCAGCATGCACACAAAAAACAAGCAGAAAGACAGGAAGAACAGGAGCAAATAGATATAAATACTCATTTCCTGAGTGGCAGCACTGCCCAGTTTTGGTTTCGTTCCATTACTGTACAAGTTAATATGTTTTGCAAGAGTTCGCAGAATATTGAAAAGGTCTGTTTTGAGTGCTGTATTGTAAATTCAGTGGTATATTAATCTTTTCTGCAGCTCTTTATAACTAAAAAAAGGATTAGAAAATAAAGTGTAAACGTTATGACTTATGAAATGTCTAATGGGATGCTAAATCTATCAGCACCTTGTATTGTAATTACAGGGAAACTGGAGAGAACTACTGGTTTATAGCCAACTAGATTATAGAATTATTGAATATTACAATTTGTGGGCTTTACAATTATAAAAGGAAGCTGCTTCATGCTCTACACATTTAGGAATGATCAAAGTGGAGTTAAGAGTTGGTGTGTATTGCATTAATTTACTAATGACTAGAGTATAATATATATATATATATATATATATATATATATATATATATATATATATATATATGTGTGTGTGTGTGTGTAGAGTATATATATATATATATATATTGATATAAATCAGCTACTGGTAAGTTTTGAGAATGAGTGATTGACGGGATTATTATTCAGGACTGTGACTGTTGTGTAATATCCAAAAACTACATCTGTAGGACTTTTTGTCAGATATTTTAGCTGCATATATTGTATGGATAAGTTATAAACACACAAAAGGGAATGTGTTTGGTTAGGTTTACTGTGCCTTATTTAAACTTGGGCATTGACTGTGCTTGTGACTTTGGGAAATGAAAGAATAGAAAGAGAAGAGAAAGAAATAGAAGAGAAAGGATCAGCCCGAGGGTCCGGTGTATGTCCCAGTATAAATATGTCCCAGTATAAAAAGAATAAACAGGTTTTCACCATAACAACCAGTAGTTTTCCTGTTGAGTATATTTCATCAAATAATTTACTAAGAGTCAAAATGATCATGGTACATACAAAAAATATGTAAACTAAATATGAAAGCACAACACACGTCAAGCAAATGTCCATAAAGGCATCAGTTAGGCAGTGACATTATGTATTCAGCTCAATACTAAGTGCAAACAATCTGTATATGACATGCTACAAACATCAGTTCTTGTTATTTTGCATGCAGAGACACACTTGTTATCATATATTAAACTTATGCTCTTAATCTATTAAATAAATCATTATTCTAAATGAACACAGCAGCACTTAAATACAGTGAAACTGTTACTGTATGTTTTGGTACTACAGTCCTTCTATTTTGTTACAGGTTTCTACAGTGAACACAGTGACAGTAAAATAATATAATGCAAACCTTTTTGTAGTCCTCAAATTAATATATTACGTTTTTCTTTCTTTAAATAAAGTATAGCTAACTATTAACTAAATTGAATATCTGAATAAAAATAAACAAAATGAGCTCAAATACAAATGATTGCACTGTTAAAAACTAAATAAAATTTTCAAAAACCTCATGCATACAGATAAGAGGAAACATAAGTAAACATTTTGTTAGAATCTATTACAATGTCTACCTATGAGGCTCTAGCTTTAAAATAACAAAAAAAAAAATCACAATTCAATTATAAACAATTTCAAACATTTGTTAAATCTCAGAACATGCTTATCTAGTAATTATGAACATGATCGAAATGCACAAAGCATCATTTGTCCTCTGCAGCCCAGGAGAACCCACATTACAGACCAAACTGCAGCCTGTCCCCACCTCCAAAATCAGCATGTCCTGTTTCCATGGGCACCAGTGGATCCAAAACAGCCTGCTTGAAAAATAATAATCATACAGGACATATATGAAAAGCTGAAATTGTACAGTAGTAGACATGTCTGCTGATTCAGTCTGTTTTGTAAAAGCTCAAATATTTGTGTTGACGCTCTTGACTTACCTTGTGTTTGATGCAGGTGGCATTGTGATGTTCCACCTTCTCTCTCAGCACCTGCAGCTCTAGGGTCAGTTTCTCAACCAGTGGTAAACCAGATGGCTCCACTAACTGCACCTGCAGGTCCTGAAAAACAAACTTGATAAATATACACATGTACTAAAAGATACAAATTTAAACTCAAAGCCTAAACACAAACCTTAATGATTTCCTCTTTGATGCTCACAGTCCTGCTTAAGGCCTCTATATCTGAGACCTGGGCCTGGAGCCGGTCTTGGTGGGACGCCAGGGTGGAGCGCAGAGCGGTAAGCTGGTTCTGGGCCTCTCTTTCTTTGCGCAGAGTCAACTGGAGCTCATCCTGAAGCACCTGTGTGTCACCTTCGGTTAACTGAGGGTTTGAAGACCCAAGCTGCCTGCGTAGCTCCTGCAATCGACCGGTCTGTTCAGCCATTACCTGACCCACCCGCCCTGCAGAATCCTGGGAAATTGAGTGTCAGGTTAAAAAGCTATTTAAAGCTCAGGAGATACATTCGTTTTTAATGATGCCTGTAGTTTAGAGATCAGTGATAGTGTCACCTTAATGTACTGCTCTCTGGAGTTGATGGTGTTCAGAAGGTTTTGGACCTGTGAGTGATGCTCTTGAGTCTGTCTGGTGCGGTCCGAGAGAAGCTCCTGGAACAAGCGCTCCTTCAGCTGCAGCCGAGATTTGAGCTCCTCAGCCACCTCACTGGACCCGACTGACACCTTACTGAGCAGAACCGCAGTCATATCCTGCAGAGATGCATGTTGGATGGAATGAAACAAGTTGAAAAGAACACAGATATGCAATATATCTGAAGCGTGTGTTCACCTCCGCCTCTTTGGTGCGTGTGTGCAGTGATGTCTGCAGCTGGTTTATTAAAGTGTCTCTTTCTCTCAGGCTTCGCATGTGTGACTCCTCTCTCTCACGCTGAACACCCTGAGCACTGCGCCAGGCCTCACACACCTGCTCCAGCTCTAAACCTTTGCCACGCAGCAACAACTCCAGACTCTGTAATCATAAGCACAGATAAAACAGTTTTGAATGAATTGTAATTCTAGTATTCACAATTTTAAGCAGGATGCGCGTGCGCCATCAATACCGTGATGGTTTCCTCGTTGTTGGAAAGAACACATCGAAGTTTCTCCAGGTCTCTCTCTTTCTCTCTCAGTAGCAGTTGCAGTTTACGCACCTCGTCTTCTTTCTGTTCCATGCACGTGAACTTCTCGTCTACCGCTCGCTGAGAAAGGTCAGAAAAGAAAAATAAAGACAAAAGATTGTCTTTTAATTAATATTTTTAATTAGCAAGGACGCATTTCTATTTGAAAAAAAAAGATGTTCTTTTCTTTAGTAATAATGTACATCAAAATATCCTGAAAAAATATTAAGCAGAACAACAGTTTTCAACATTGATAATAATACGAAATGTGACAGGAGTAATGACAGCTTTGCCATCAGAGGAATAAATTATATTTTAAAACATATTGAAATGGGCAGTTATTTTTTCACAATATTACTGTTTTTACAGTTTTTCATCAAATAAATTAAGCATTAGTGAGACTTATTTTAAAAACATTCAAAATTTTACTGAGAAAATTTAAATAAGAAATGTAAGAAATTTAAGTAAAAGAAATGTAAGAAATTTAAATAAAAAGAGGACAAATAAATATTTATTAATTCATAATTGAACAATAATAAAATTATTTAGAATATTTCAAAATTATTTTATTAAGATTAATAATAATAATACTGTTTGTTTGGTAAGTGTGTGTTTATGTACCTCCAAAGCTCTGTCTCTTTCCTGAATGCGTTGTTTGAGCTTGAAAATGAGGTTGTCTTTATTTCCAGCAGGCTCTTTCTGAGCATCCACCAGCTCACTGTAGTCCTGATCAAGAGTATATAGCATCAAAGATTTACATCCTTACAGTAAGTCTATCAGTACTACGGTTATACTAGAACTAATAATCAAAATGTTCTTTGTATTTCTTACCAGTAACAGTTGTTCTTTGTGCTCTAGTGAGGTCTTAAGTTCTCGGATGGTCTTCTCCCTTTCCTCGACCTCTTTCTCCCTCTGTCTCCTTTCATCTCTCCATTTCTCCTCCATTTGCTGTATCTCAAAGCGAGCCCTCTCAAGAGCAGCAAGTAAATCGTGGTTGTGTGTTTCTGCTTCCTGGTGGTGCTGCAGGGCTTCCTGCAGGTCAGCCTGGAGGCGCTGGTTTCCTCGGGACAGGTCATCTTCTCGCCTCTGGCCCTGCTGCTGTGCTCTTTGAAGGCCCTGCAGCTCAAGCTGGGCTGAGAACAGAGAGCCCTGGAGGTCCAACAGATCAGCCTGCAGACGGCTAGGAGCCACTCCAGACACCTGCACCAATGAGAAGACAGGACGGTGGGACAAAGAACCAGATATAGTCATCAAAATGGGTTTAGCGGAGTCATTCCCAGAACTTTGTGTAAAACATGAAGATTTGAGGAGTGTGATCTGTGAGCATTACTGAAGGAGGATTCCCACCTGCTGCTGCTGGAGCAGGAAATGGTTGTTCTGTTGTTTCAGAGAGTGCAGAAGCTCATTCTGCTCTTCGGTGAGCCGATGGAGATCAGTAATCTAGTATGAAACATTATTAATATAGATTAAGTCCCAGGCTAAATTCATTTGAGACATTAAAAAAAAAAAAAGAAACAATTTTGATGGTTTTGACAGTTAGTCCATTATCTAAATATACAAAAGCCAAACAGAGTGTCTCAAGGCTGTTAGGAATGCCGGATATTCCAGTCACGGCTTTGTGCTTGAGGGGCAGACATACCTCACAGTCTTTAGTGTTGAGCGAGTCACTCAAGGTCTGTATTGTTCTCTCTTGACCACATACTGCTTCTCTGACAGAACGTAGTTCACTTTCCATGTCCCTGAGCCTCTGCTGTAACTTCTGTGCAGACAAACAAAAGAGCTCAGTGCAATAATGATTTAATGATTCCCATGCCCGTTGAGACATAACAATGCCATAGCAACAAACATCAGCGAACAACAGTACACCATATGAACATGAAAGTCAAAAGACAAAAAGACTGCTTGATGAAACGGCTTTTACATTTCGATGTCAATATACCTTATTGCTGGTCTCGCTTTCTCGGATCTTGGTCTGGAGAGATTGGACTTGCTGTTGGGCCTTCTGCAGCTCACTCACACACTGACCCGCTGCGTTCTCATACTCCGCCAGCTGACACTGCTGCTCCTCAATCAACCTCTGAGACAAAGACACATCACACAAACAAATGCTTTAAACAATAGGATTATTGTTACTTGTTTCAGAGAGAGCAAAGTTCATCCAAATTTGATGCAAGATTTCTTTTCTGATCAAGATCAACTGGCTAGGCCAGGGAATATTAACATGATTATTCACGTTATGGAAGTTAAAAATACTGTTTCATGTCTTTACATTCAATATTAACACCTCGTATAATATAAAGTCTGCAATTATTAAATGAGCATATATGCTTGAAAACTGTATTGACGTGAGTGAGAGGACAGGTGGGGTGCAGAACAAACAGTTATGACCATAGCCTCACTCAACAACTTCCTCAGGATGTCCTATTTTTCCATGGCGGCATGCCGTACACTTCCTTGTTTTTAATTTTCACTCAGCATAATTTCTTCATCATCTATTATTATCTTATAATACAACATATAAATTAGTCTCTATAATAAATCAGTGCACAAAAATAAAAGTTTGACTAGCACAACAGAGGTAGCCGCAGTAACTGGAGGATAATGTTTCTGATCCAGCTTTGTCTACAGTAACATACAGTGATTACAACTGGCTGTGCGTAGTACAATAGTGCAGGTTGTGAACACTAAAGATCAGATTACTCACACTCCTTGTTGCTTTATCTGTCACTACCTTTCAGGCTTTAGCTTTTGATAGGTTATATAAACATTACATAAAATTATATTGCTAAAAAGATCATATATACTTAAAAGATTAGTTCACTTCAAAATAAAAATTCTGTCACTATTTACTCACACTTAAGTTGTTTAAAACCTGTTTCTTTCTTCTGCTGAACACAAAAGAAGATATTTTGAAGAATGTCTGCAAACAAAGGTTGATGGACCCCATTGACTTCCATAGTATATGTATATTTTTTCCTTTTATGGAAATCAATGAAATCTGGTTAACGACAGTCTACAAAATATCTTCCTTTGTGTTCAGCAGAAGACAGAAATTCATGCAGGTTTAAAACAACTTGAGGGTGAGTAAATGATGACAGAATTTTCATGTCAAAGTGAACTTTTCATGCTGTTTTTTAAGATATATACACTCTATTGTTCAAAAGTTTAGGTCAGTAAGATTTCTTAATATTATTGAAGGAAGTCTCTTATGCACACCAAAGCCTGCATTTATTTGATCAAAAATACAGTAAAAATTGTGAAATATTATTCCAATTCAAATTAACTTTGTTCTATTTTAATATATTTTAAAATATATATATATATATATATATATTTAAATATATATGATCACAATTGGCATTAGCATCATTACTCCAGGCTTCAGTGTCACATGATCCTAATTCTTATATGCTGATTTGATGCTCAAAAAACATTTATGATCAATGCAGAAACATCTGTGCTGCTTAATATTTTTATAGAAACCTTGATAGAAATCTTTTCAAGATTGTAACATAAATGTCTTGAGTGTCACTTTTGATCAATGTAATGCATTCTTGCAGAATAAAAGTATTGATTTCTTGAAAAAAAAAACCCTGACCCTTCAACATTTTACAAAGCCAATATGCATTCATTAAAAGAGCAAAAATATAATGATCCTTCTGGAATTGGCCTGTTGCTCACAACAACAGTTGCTATGAAAGAGTTGCTAAGAAGATGATGGGTAACCTAGTAATCAAAAGCAATCAGAGAGCTGGAGAGCTCTGGGAACAAAAAAGCCTGAGGGAGTCCTTGATCAACTCATCTAGTTTGTATCCTATAAATTCAACCTTCCTCTTTCTTAATATAGGCCTACTTTGTACAAACGAACAGTCCAAAGATTCTTTCCAAACAACCCTCATTATTTCCTCCTTTTCTTCATTCAGATTTTTTTTTTCTGAGAATCCGTAGGTCTTCTTATGTACCTTCTCAAGCCCTGATGGCTTGCACTCAATGTAATCATCCAACCACAGGTCTTCCATTTCTGCCAACTCAAGTTGAAGCTCCTGCTGGATGCTAGAAGGAGCATCTGGAAGATGGGGGGAAAGGGGACACTCCATCCCAGTGGGAGTCACCTGGAGCAGAGGGTAAGGACTCTCCATTGGTGTAGCGTTAGGTTTGAGGAGCACAGGAATCCGACTACCTCTGTGACTCTGGAGAGGGTGATGTTCAAAACTTTTAAGCAGGCTGAGGGCAATATCAAGTCCACACACAGAACCAGGCCTGGACTCGGATCTCCTGATAGTAGATTGTTCCTCTTCAGACTCTTTCTGCATGGTGTCAGGATGGACTTTTGAATGAGACTCTTGGGTGAGATCTACAGCAGTGTCCAAAGACTCCACAGAGGAGCCAGGACTTAGGCAGAAGGGCTCTTGATCACTGGGGCAGCGAGTTTGGTTGTCCTCGACAGGTTCGGGTTCTGGTGGAGGTGCGGATGGGACGCTTTCCTCAGCGTTGTCCTGAACACTACAGGAGTAGCGTGTGGAGGGTCCACAGGAAGTGCTCCGGCCCACTTTCCTGGGAACTTTGCAGACAGCCTCATAATCTGAATCTGCCACCCGCAGCGCAGCGCATCCTTTGCACTTTCTGGGTCGGGGACATGGACTGGCATCTGCTGCTGCGTGGCACTGATGGTGAGGGCATTGGTGGTCTTGAACCTGCTCTTGAGCGCCTTGCTCAGCCCATGACTCATAGATAGAGTATGTCAGATCTTCCTGCAGTAGAGCACTGTATTCAACTTCGGTCAACTTGGAGAAGTCCACTACAGGAGAGTCCAAAGCACCATCATCCTCTCCAAAATCATCAGCATTGTTTTTGCGGTACAGTCCGCCGATGCACTGTCTAAGCCTGTCTTTCTCCAACAAGAGCTTCTGCATCCTTTCGACTGACAATGCCTCCACCCTGGCGATCACAGTGTCGAAGCGATACATTCGGTCCAGCATGAAGGTACACTTGCTGCAGGCGAACTCTCCCCGGCCGTCTCGGGTCATCTCCTTGCCCAACGCATAGGACAGAAGCACCTGCAGACTCAGCTTGGCAGTTGGGTGGAAGATCCATCGCCGTTGGTTACCATACAGCTCCCTTGCACAGATGCGACACAAGTCCTTCATCTTTGAGTCCAACATCATAAATCTTCAAATGAATAATAATCTAGAGCTGTTTATGCCAAGATTATACCAAGAGCGAAAGTGAAGATGACATGACATATAACTTAAATATCTTATATTTCTATTCTTCTTCAGTTCCCATCAATGCAAAATAAGACGTTAAAATAAAGGATTTTATATATATATATATTAAATATATATGTATATTAATTGGAAACTATCATAATGTCACGTCAGGTTGTTTATCATAGATTAGACGACGACTTTAATTTCATTTCATCCCAGTCAATCCACAATATAAAGTTGTCGTATTTGATGTCCTTATGTCCTTGAGATCGATCTTTAAATATATATATATCGCTGGAAATAAAACTTGATTTCAATGTCCAGATGCTTGTCTTCGTCAATGGAAATAAAGATGCGTGTTTTGTCCTTCACTCGCGCGGTCCAGATAATGTTTCATTCTCTCTTCTGTGAAGGCGCCGACATGACAGGACATCATTTTAAATCCCACCGCCCGACTCCGGTTTAAAACACGAGTCATTTTCATATAACCATCATTACACGATTTGTAAACGGAAACAATATCATATTCTATCCCCAGAATATTTGCCAATATTCTGTGTATAACCGAGTCTCAATGAATGTACAGGCAGTGAAGTAGCAAACGATGTGGCAAGGCAAGAGTGAGGCAGGGAAAATGGCGCGTACCATTTTCTGGACAAAAAAGGGGGGTCGCAAATAAGCATTTCTACAATATATGCTATTTGTTTAAACGTAGCGACGGCTGTTGACCTCCGCATACCCAATTAGATTACAGCTACTATCTATATTGTCGTTTATTGTTCATTGCTTGTCAACGGTGTTTTTGTAAATTATCTAATCTCCCCTCGGCATATGCAGTGCTACCGTCCGAACAAAGGGAACAAGCCAAGAAAACGCTGACACTACTTTACATACTAATTTCCATTTTCGAAAGGAAGTGCGACTGGGAAAGTGATTTTGATTTTAATAAGCCCTGGTTTTTATAGTATACACCACTGATCAAAATATTCCTTGTTAAAATCCTGAATTTGTGTGAATGGTTGCTTTTTATTAACATTAATACATGTGCAGTTGTAATGGGTCAATTAATTACTGCATTTTAGCACTGCTTGTAAATGGCAGCAGTGAAGAATGTCATTTGTTGGTTTTACAATGATTTAAACAACTAGATTTGCTATCAACAACCACACACCAAACTTGTAAGGATAGATGGATCAATCTCTTATAAATTACGATTAATTCTTGCTAGAAAGAACTGAATGATGTCATGTTTTATGGCATATTTGCACATAATGGCTGTTTGTGGTGTCCCTGTGAGTGAATTTTTCATTCAAATGTCTCTAGAATTTAGACAATGGCGACGGAACACCATAACAGTGCTAAAACACAAAACAGCCTTAATCAAAAACCTATTTATCCTAATCAGGCAAATGTAGTATTATCTCATTGTTTATGTCAACCAGTGACAGTGATGGCAATGAGCTGTTCTGAGACAGTAAAATTAACTGTGAGTTTTCATTATTATTCTGTGTAACGTGTGATGTAAATGATTGTATATTTTAGGCCTAAATTATATTTTGAAAAATCACTTCGAAGTTGAAATACGTTGTTTAACTGTGGGAAAGAAAGAGCTAGGATTTCAAAAATAGATGTCATCACTTGTTATCTCGCAAACCCAGGTTAAACAAGAAACCGAATACTGCATACATTTAACCCTTCAGTTGGATGGCTATGGCATGACAAAAAATATTTACATGAGCAAACAGCAGCACTGAAAGTAAAATACAATATATATATATATATATATATATATATATATATATATATATATATATATATAAACATGGATTTGGATGACAAATGGCAAGTGCAGTTCAATTTTTAAAATGGTTGTAAATGTGTGTGTTCGTGTGCAGCTGGCCATGGTTGTACACTAGATGTCGCTCTCAGCACACTGGTGATGCAATTTCTTCAGTAAAATTACAACCATTTTCCTAAAATTGGGACAATTCATTCATTCACCTTTAGATTGACTTATAAAATAATAAAATAAAGTCTTACTTGCATCTCCTGCTCTGTTCTGCTTTTTCCATGAGCCAGTTCTTCTCTGAGGGTCTAAAAAAAGAAAAGAATATGTAGCCTACTTCTTTACAGAACAAGCCAAGACATAAAAGTAAAAACTAACTATATATTAGTTTAAAGGACTAATATAAACATTTTATTGGGTATTTCTGTTTAATCCTGTAAAGCCTGACATAGCTATGATTATTTGAAATGTTATGTTTAATGAATAAAAAAAGAGTTTGCATTGATTGCATTGGTTTTGTTGGTTATACATCAGGCTTCGAGGCCTAAATTGATAAAAAAAATTAGCAATTTGTTGCAGTTGCTGTTATACAAAAGTAAGAAGAAATTCTGATAGCTTGTAATGTAAATCAATAAGATCTTTATAACAGTACAGCAGACTACTTAAAATGCATACATATATGACACGTTCATCAATATCTCCCAATAATAATAGTTCATAAGATATTTAAATGCTTAGTTTTATTATAAAAGCTTTGTAGTTTTGTTTTATATCAAAATAAAAAAAATACAATGATGATTGAGAGATGTGTAAATAAACATTCTTAAAAAGCCTGATGTATCATATTTGATACATTTAAACATGAATTTTCTTAAGAAAAATGTTTGGATAATATGTGAACTTAAGTTGCTTTAGGACAGCAAGTGTCCATATTGAAATATTACTGACAATATAAAAGTTAATCTTACATTTACTTTATAAAAATCAGGAAAGATTTCATACCAAAAAGTTTATTCAAAATTATACTAAAAAAGACAGAAAGGATGTAGTAGATTGCGTATAAAAGCAAAGCTTTGATCATTTCAAGGTCTTACGTATTAAATATGATACACTAAGCTTTATAGGGTTAAACAATTCCCTTTACATTTGTGTCAATTTGCATTTTCAAGTCAATTTGATTCATTATTACAATGTTAAACATGTTTATCTACATGCAGGCTATACCAATTTCTCGGTTTACATATGAATCTAAGGTGAAGTTAATATAAATCTCCCTGTTTATGTGATTTATACCCATACTGTAAATATACTAATCTGGGAGAAGTATTGAATCACTCCTGCATGTGCCATGACCTATTTGCAATGGCACGACTGTGTGTGTATGTGTTTATAAATAGAGTCTGATATCCAAATCCACTTTCTCTTTTGGGGTTGAATAGGGGCCAGAGGCCAAAGTGACCTAGTTAGCTGCCTTGACCACACTGAACAATATAGTAAAGTCAGATGTCACATGCATCACATATAACACACAATTATATGCGCATGCAAGTTTGAGTGTGTATGCTACATCCCTAAAAGCATTATTCTGTGACACACTGCAGGGGTTACAGATTTAAGAAGGATACTGATTATCAGGGCCACATGAAATCTATGTGTGCATTTAGATAGATGAGAGTCCTATTGTATACCTGTATGTGTTTCTCTTTCTGCTGGAGGGAAAAGGTGAGGCTCTGCACTTGCTCTTCCAGCTCAGTTAGTTTTGCAGTAAGGACATCCCTCTGTGAACTTAGATCGGATGCTTTTTGCTCACTCCTGCATACAGTTTCATTCTGTTCTGCTATTAACCTAGAAAAGAAAAGGTGTAAGTGACTGAGTAACAGATAATCATTATTTAAACAATCCCTGAATTAACTTCAGTATATTCAGTCATATTTATGGTCAGTGCTGTAATGTTTACCTGTCTTTCTCAACAATCACATCAAGCTGTGCCATAGCAGACAAGCTTTCATTTCCCCCCTGCATTTCCATCATCATCCTCCTTTCTAGGGCCAAACAGCGTCGGGTCTCTGAGTCAGCCAGAGAAGCCATTTTTTCTGCTTCACTTCTAGCCAATTGAGCCTCCTGAAAGTAAAAATTGCAGTAAAATGAAATGCAGTGCAATAAAATAACCCCCCAAAAAACTGCAATGCAATGCAATGCAATGCAATAAAATGGACAGTTTTGTTTTCTGCATGCTGAAACATGTTAGGTATAGGATTTTATAAAGTCTCTTATACTGACTTTGCTTCAAAAACACACACTTACAAGAGTAAGTAACCAAACGCAGCACACGTGTTTTAAATACTAAGCACTGTAAATGTGGATTTTGTTGTGTCCGTTTTTTTGTGTTTGGGAATGTAATATGCACCTCCTGCAGAAGCTGGATCTTGGTCTCCAGAATCTCTTGCATGTGTCCGATCTCCTGCTGCCGTTCCTCACAGCGACGCTGCTCCTCCACCTCATTCTGATTGGTCAGACTCTCTGCTGTGGTTCTGTGAAGTAACACAATACAAGCAAAACAGCTTTAGTGAACAATTCGGAAAGAATGCGTCAAAACAAATCCATAGATACAAATGGGAAAAGGACGCTTTTGATCTGAATGCAGCCTGTGCCATTGTGGATTTGTCTCACAGTTAAACAAGAGTCTAAAAACATATAATAAACCTAATTAACAAAGAAAGGAAGTGTTTTCATTGAAATAAAAGTTTATTTATATATGCACAGTTAAATTTGACTGTGATTTTTTTATTGAACGCACCAACAATTTTTGAGGGAATTCTACTTCCTAGGTAGCAACTTTTCTGTTCTCTTTAGGCCAATAATACTTGTCATTTATTACCAGAAAATTGTTCTGATGATAAATGAGAATATATATATATATATACTGTATATGTATATGTTCAAAGATTAAATAAATAAAACTTATTGATTATAAAGGATATATAAATTAATATATAATTTATATATTAATAACTTATTGATTATAAATGATATATAAATATAAATTACAATTACAAGATTTAGAATTAAACTAGTTTGTTTATATATATATATATATATATATATAAACAAACTAGTTTGTAGGAATTAAAAAAACTAATTAATGATAGTGGTCATGTTTGATTTATTCAATCTTTGTCCCTGAGCACATTCATATCTTTCAGACTCAGTGAAAGAGTTTCATTTCATTTTTCATTCCCCAAAGAGTATTAAAGCAAAAGAAGAGAGTCACAAAGGTGAGTCGTAACAATCTTTGCTCATGTCTCCTGTGGGATGTTTTTAACAGTCCTTTGTGCGTGTGAAGGGTGTTGCTCTGACATTTTAAGTATACTGGAGTGTCTGTGAGAGCCTTTCACTCAGCGCAGTGCTCTAGAAGCCTCTCGAGGACTTCATAACAGCTTTTCCAGACCCCGTTGCTCCATTGCAGCGGAGCTGTTTTTGAACGTGATGATAGCTGCGGCACCGACCCCTCTATAATTGTTTGATCCGGAGCAAACGGTACCTCTGGGTTTTTAACCGAGTTGTGCCAGGACATCCATAACTGCAACGATCGGTCTGAGCAATCGTCCTGATCAGTCACTACAACATGTTAGCAATCACAGCCTAAAGACATGTCATTTAGCCCGGGAGGTGAAATCATTCAGCTCTGATTTTTTTAGTCCTCTGTGAACCGAATGTCAGTTCTGAGGGTCGGAGCGATGGCTTAAGGGACGCTATGAAGAAAAAAGTGAGGAGAAATTATGAGGGGAATTTTTGCTTGATGGCAAAGACTCAGACTCAGGTCACCAGCAA